TAGTTCCTTATTTTGGGTTTAACGAATTCTATATTAAGGGCATCCCCAAAAAGGAACTACAAAAAGGAACTACAATGGAGACTTTTGGTTGGGACCTTATATCGCCAGGATGCCTAAGCCAGCTTCAGGGCCTTGCATACAAGCCCAATGCTCGCAGGCCTAGGACCCTTCAATGCAAGGAGGAAGCCATAGAAAACCCTTATTGCGCAAGTCCCCGTAAAATAAAGCCTTGCCAAGCTGCAAAACCGTTCTCATCAATTCTCATACAACTTCAGTACCCCCAAATTGTTCTACGGTGCAACCCCTAGCCTGACACCCCTGAACCCGTGCATGCTACGCCAGATCTCCTCAAGGGGCAGTCGCCCTTGGCCACGTAGGTCGCCCTCAACATGCTGGTGGTAGAGCCTTCCGACTTTACCCATAGGCCCCATAGTAGTTCCTTTTTGGGGTTACCGTATAGGATTCTATATATGAACCCCAAAAAGGAACTACTTTAGGGCCTCTAAGTAGTTTAAGGGTTATAGGCTTTCGGCTTTCATTTTGTTCTTGGAGACCGCTGGTTCAGAGTCGGGGGTGTTAGGGCGCCTTTCGAATTAAGATCAGGCTTCGGGATTGTAGCCTTTATCGTTTACATCAATCGATTCTTTTTCGCATCCTGAAGTGAGGGCTGGGGCGCTTTATCGCAAAGCGGTTAGAGACGCAAAGGTTCGCTTGGTGGGTTTAGGGTTCGTGGCGAAATCAGGAGCGAAGGCTAGAACCTTCTGCAAATCCCAAAACGGAAAAACTACGCCACCATGCTCCCAGCCAGGTAACCTGCGAATCTCACGGGGCCAAACCGACAGATCTGTCTCCTGGCAGGGATTGCGGCATTTCCGGGTGAGACAAGACAGTAGTAAGAACAGCTGGGGTGCTCAGCAATCCTGCTACAGTTGCGGGTGTCTTCGGACGGAAAGCGGCACCTAAGTTGTGCAACTTGTAACGACCGCTCACAAAGCGACGGAAAGGTCAAGCTGTCAACCATCAAAGTCCAGGGTACAGAGAAAGCACCCGATCACAACGCCACGGCACACACGTACACACGCACGTATCGTACATGTCTATACATAGACATAGACACATACATAGATAAAGGCATTCATACATGCATGCATGCTTGCATGGGCCCCTGCATGTATACAGACACGAAGGCATTGTGGAAGTGCACACGGCTGTGCGTGCCCATGCTGAAATGAATCTGCACTGAAGTGCTGAGCACTTCCGCTCTATGAACTCGTATTTGAGTTGTTTTATGTATGTGTGCGCATGTATGTACGTAAGTAAGTAAGTATGTATGTATGGATTTTGTTTGTAATGTAACTAATGTAATGGTGTAATGTAATCAATGTATGTGTGTATGCCTGTACGTACGAGGTACTTGTGCATGTGTGTATGAATGCTTGTGTGCCTGCATCAGTGTATACCGACCTCTGTGCGCTGAGGCATCCTCGTATGCGCATGTGCATGCTGAACTATGCACATGGGATAGTGTTTGCGCACCTGCCTATCCATGCATCTATTTTGGTTCTTTGCATACACCCGTATCTGCATATTATAACTGCCCATACGAACCCAGAGGTAAACATAGAGTCCAAGACCATCTGTGTGCACTACAAGTGACAGCCACCTGAGACCTTGTTGTCCCCAGGAGCTTAAGCCAGAACCTGGCACCACAATTGGACTGAAGCCAACCCCCCTTACCCCGAAACTTTACAGATCCTCCCTAAGGCCCATTGCTCTTAAACAGCACGCGGCTAACCTTGTGCGAAGTCTCAAGCTCCGCAGTCGACAGCTATAGCACACATCCGGCTCCTCGGTGACGAGATGGTGCACGTCGCTGGTAAAGCGTCGGATTTGCGCATCCTTCTCGCGCACCTGGGCCTTCAGCTCCTTCAGGTTTCAGGGCTTGCATCATAGGAGGATTTCGGGCTTCAGGGTTGTAAGGGGCTGCTTACAGTTGGAGTCGAAAAGAACATAGCCATCCCCAAACCCTGTTCCAGTTCTGTGTCCCTACGTGAGTCAAACATACTCGAATCCTTGAGGACCCGAATCGATCGTTGCAAAGGAAGCATTCCCCCCCCGGCACTTTCAAGTGCGGTCCAGCTCGCGGGCCCAAGCAAGGATCATCAGCATGTATATAAAGGCTAAGCCCAATCTAAGCTGAAGATTTGCAAGGTCAGCTACCATTCAACACCGAAGTGCAGGTCGAGAGAACAACACTGCGCCCCTAAGTCATCAGCTCACCCTGGAAAAGACTAAGAGGGCCATATGTATGTATGGATATAGGTCTATTTTAAATTCTAAGGCAGAACTGACTCGAAGGGCCAACCCCCAAACTCTAACTTAGCATTGCAAGGATGCAATCCTAGGAGTCATCGCCACGAAATTTGGTTTCCGTCCTCCGTCTCTTGGGCTAGGATGCCCGCTTTCTGGCGCCGTGAGACAATTTGAGCCTCCTGGCGGATAGAACCCAGGACTTCAGGTTCAGAGGGTGTCGGAACGCATGACACATGCAATTCCTGCTCACGACTTGCACCTAGAGCATCAATACTGAAGCCTGGAAGCTGTGACAACAAGAAAGAGAGAGAGGAGCTATCTTGCTGAGCAAGATGAAAAGGAGCTCGGATCAATGTGCGCGTAAGCTGATGTCATGCAGACCAGCTTCCAAACAGCATGCCTGTAGGCTTCTTAGTTCTACACCCGTATGTCGAAATTTGCGTTTCCCAGAAGCCCGCGTCACAGTAGGCCAAGCACAAAGCCCTGAAAGACACTGAAGAGGGTTAAAGGTTCAGGGAATGTCTCCAGCTGCCGCTGTTCCAGGAGCTGCCGGTCAAACTCCGTTTCCAGATCGTTCAGGTCCTGACCGGTGCTGGGGTCATTCATGGGCCACCGTTTAGATTTAGGGCTTGGCTGTGTACTCGAAAACTGAATCTCCTTTCGTATGATCGGTTGAGCATAGCTCACCGAAAATGAAGATTGAAAGTGAGAATGTAGGGGCTTCCAATACGTACTATTTAATGAGGGTTCCTTATTATACTTATAAAGTATAATGGGCCCCAAAACCCTATCTTAATTATTAAGGCCCCTATATTATAGAACCTTCATAGTATCCCCTTTAAGGAACCCTAATCTACTTATTAAGACCCCCGTTTTGCTTAGGCATCCTGTCCGTTGAGATCTGCAGACTTGCTCAGAGTGATCCCGGGCGAGGGGAGGCTTAGGCTATCGGGCGCCTTGAACCCTTCCTTAAAAACAGAGGTAGTGTAGGGGCCTTAAGTAGAAGAAAAGGGTTTCGGGGCTTCCTTTAAAGGGTTCCTGAAAGGGTTCGCTGTGGCGACTCTAAGGGTTTAGGGTGTAGGGGCCTGAATAGGTAGAATAGGGTTTTGGAACCGATTATACTGCAATTACAATATTAAGGAACCCCCCAAAATAGTGTTGGTAATTATCAAGGCCCCTACATTATAGTGACTTATTGCATCTCGCTCTAGACTCTAGATAGCAGATGCCGAAAGAGTGGTAAGTCTATGTATGGGCTGGGGGGCCAGCTCTAAAGTACCGATGCTGCGCTGTGTCCGTCCTCGAAGGTAGCCGCAGGAGCCCGTGCGACATATACTGCAGGTTTCGATATGTGGGTTTCCGGAATTTAGGGGACCCTAATATATGGTACCCGAAATAGTAGGGTCCTTATTACAACTCCAAGATAAGGTACACCTTATTTTCGGAAACTCCCATATTAATATATTGCTGCGTAAGGGTTCGTCTGCTGGACAGCTGCAAACAACAAGCGTTTATAACAGTCGCACTGTCTCAGTTCCGGTACCATGGCTACCATTTTGATCACCTCTACCTGCTAGCTAGGGTTTTAATAATTAGGGTACCGGGGTATATTGTACTATAGTTTTACAAGGAACCCCCCAAAATGGTTTTGGTTATTGCTCATAGGGCCTACCATGACAATCGATCATGTACTATCACATGCGATAACCTACTAATAACCTAGACCCGAAACCCTAAACTATAACCTTTTTTGCAACTCGTCACGCCAGGACAGCTGACTATAACCTAAACCCTAAACCCTTCATATAGGTGGTTGTCAAAAGTATGGTCCCTTTTTGGGTCCTTATTATAGTACGGCACCTATTATTTAGGGTACCCAAAAAGGGACCATAATTTTGACAACTACCCATAGGCAAAGCGGCCTCGTTGAGTTTCTTGATCAGCGAGTCCTTGGGCTGAAGCGAAGTCGACACCTGCACGAAGGGAAAGCCAGGCATTGTGGCCTTTTGGGTGGTCTTGGTATAGGGTTTGGGGCTTAGGGTTTAGGTTTAGGGTTTAGGGTTTAGGATTCAGGGTTTAGGGATGCAGGGATTCGTGCCCGGATTTCGGTGTTGCGGCTCACACACTCGCAGAAGGCGGGCATGGCAGACTGTGTCCGGGCTTGCTACTTCGGTGTTTAGGGGGTCTATGGTTTAGGGCTGATTTAAGGTTGTGAGTGAAGGACCAAGCCCGGGAGTCAGTTATGGGATCGGACTTCCGAGGTTTAGGACATCGGGCGGCCCGTGATCAAGCTGGAGATTCAGACGCAAGGAGTAGGCAAGGTTGCCGTGTCAGCTACATTCCAACGGATCGCACAGGCGGCTGAGAGAAAAAAACTGGAAATACCAAAGGGGAATGCACGGCAAAAATTAGAAAGACATGCAAGATTCTAAGTCATGAATGCACCTCTTTTAGCAGGGCCTAGAAGCCAACTGTGCCTCTGTCTCTCTCTCTCGCGCCCTGAGGGGGCCAACTCTCTCCATCGCGATGTCCATCCACCATCTGTGCTAATATACTGACTACCAGTTTCTTGTCGAGCTCTTGGCTAAGATCAACTAATGTCATGACATGTGACGAATCACAACTACCAAGATGGCAAAGGGACTCCACTACGCATGGATTACTGGCCCGGCTATGCATCCAGCGTGGAGGGAGCAAGGGGGAGAAACCGGTGGAATATAGAAGCCTCAGTTAATTCGCAGTGCAATACGAGTCTTTCGAGTCCTGTATAGATATTTACCGCATATTATAATAAACCCAAAATTCGGGTTCCTGTATATATTTACTGCAGATTATAATAAGCCCAAAAGCCTTATTCTAATTATTCAGGCCCCCTTTTTTTTACAATATATATACAGTGCAGATTATAATAAACCCAAAAGCCTTCTTCTAATTATTCAGGCCCCCCTTTTTTACAATTTCGGCCTCAGCGAGTCTTTGGTCCAAGAGCAGCTTAAACTTCTTGAGCGTCTTCTGCTTCGACTTGTAGCCTCAAGAGCATAAGGGTTTAGGGTTTAAGGTTTAGGGTTTAGGGGTTTAGAGGTTTAGGGGTTTAGGGTTTAAGGTTTAGGGTTTAGGGTTTAGGGGTTTAGGGTTTAGGGTTTAGGAGGGGTACTGTTAGGGTATATTAGGGTTCTAGACGGGGTAGCATACGGCTTAAATTCGGATTCCTGTAAGGCTTCCTTGGCAAGCTAGCCAGCCTGGAAGATAGCCGTCTTCCCGACGGATCGATGCAACTCCCAAACCTAAACCATGCTGGCGAGCACACTTCCAAGCTTACCATGGCCCAAGGTGTGGAAACCCACCAAAGCCATATTATAGGGGCCTTAATAATCAGAATGGGGGTTTGGGGTATGTCATACTATAATTATATTAAGGTACCCCCGAAAGAGTATTGGCATTATCATGCAAACACTACTGAGCATCAGAAGAGCAAGCGTGCTCGTGACAATGTCAAAACATAGTGAGAGCAATCCTGTGAACCTGACAGCGATAGCACACACTAGTCAATGCCAAGAGTCGCAAGTACTAGGAAACAAGCAGAATCGTAGTAAACAAAGGCTTATGACAGAAATACCAATTAATTAACGAGCTCATTCCAACCTTTAGAGGAAGCAACATCAATGACACAAATCAAAACCGGGAAAGTGCAGGAGCCTTCGATGGACACGAGCTTATCCTGCAACGTCGCCTCTCTGTCCTGACAAGTGAGCTTAGACGGACCAGGTTTTTTGCTTCCCACCTAGCTAGGACGAAGCCCGCAATGGATGGACGAGGTTTAGGGTTTCGGGGCTTAGGGCTTAGAGGGCTGTTGTTTGTTCGCGCTTTCGGCTTTACGGCGTGGAGTTTGGCTTTGGGGCTTAGGTTAACGACCTTGACTCACTACACTTCTCCGTTGTGCGTGTCGTCCTTGTGCAAAGCGGGATGATACCCTTCCTTGCCTTATCGCATGACGGCCTCTTTTAGGGCTTAGGTTCTATAGATAGGGTACTCGGATCACTGGAATAAACAAGCCGACATGATTAGACTCTGTAGGGCAAGGGTTCTTTTTGACAAAGCCAACACTCCAGGTGGAACACCATGCTTCCATGCTTCGAAAACATCCTTCAACAGATTGAAGCTCGAAAAATCCAAGCAACCTAAATCCCGAACAAGCCTCTACAGCTGACCTCCGCTCTCTGATGTGCGAGCCGTCATCGACTCAGTGACTGCGAGACTACGGCCCATTGCTTTTTCCGAAACTCGAAGAACATCCAAAGCCTGAAACCCCAAACAAAAGCCCTCACGTCTTGCCTGGCGCTCGCCATGGAGTCCATGCAACCTGGGTATCTATTGCTGAACACGACTGCACAGTGCCGCTTCACAAATCTCCGGCTCGAGTGCTTGTCAGGGGGTGTATCTTAAAGTCTAAACCCTAAACCGTAAACCCGTAGGTACATTCGGGCTACCGGTGCTGAGTCTTGGCTCCTTTTCATGATTGATCGGCTTAGGGATTGAGTTTACGGGTGCAGATTCGTAAATGTAGGGGCCTTAATAGTTAGAATAGGGCCCTTTACAGAGTATATGTAAATAAAAGGAACCTAAGGACTAATATGGGTAATTACTTCGGCTTCTATAGTAGCTGCAGGCGGCTCGCAGCGGTCGCAGGTGCATCAGGTACTCGGGGCAACCCTTCCAAGAGGCCGTGTTTTAGGATTTAGAGTTTTAGGTGCTGCCACAATCTTCCTTGCTACGTCCACCCGTTCGTCCAAGTAGCAGAAGAAGAAGTAGTAGTAGTAGTAGTAGTAGTATGGACCCTGCCGCATGTCGAGATTTGGAGGGCAAGCTGCTTTCAGCCAGTGCGGCAACCTGCGGTCTGGAAACCTGCCATTGGGCTCCCTTGTGCAAGGGCCTCGTCTGATCTCGGCCGGACTGATAGCCCACAGCAGTGAGTTGAGACCAAGCTCTTCACCATTGGGCTCCCTAAACCCAGCACCAGCAGTTCAACCTTCAGTCAGTTTCTCATCAGGGCAGAACCCTTGGAATCGGACAACTCTCTGCGTCGGAGGGCGCGATCTGCCATGATCTTTCATGATAATTGGTTCGCACGCTAAACCCTAAACCCTAAACCCCAGGAACAGTCCCCAGGCCTAGTGCGGAAAAAGACACCTTAAACCCTGCACTAAACCCTCAACCAAACACTCCTCAACCCTGACCCCTAGACCGCGAATCCTAAGTTCCTAGATCCTCAACCCTTAATCCAGCCCTGAACCCTCAAGCCCCAAAACCCTGAACCCCTAGACCCTAGGCCCTACACCCCAAGCCTCATACTCAATTTACCCGTCCGGCCACGTGCGCTTCAATTCCTCGGCTTGTTCGTGTAGCGAACGCCTTGGGACACTGAAAACCGGCGGATTCCATGCGAGGCCCTGGGGGTTTAGGACTCCAGGGCTCTGGAGAATTTTAATCTAAAGCCCTAAAGCCCTAAACCCTAAACCCCTAAAGTCTATAAGTCTACACCCTAAACCCCTAAAGTCGATAAGTCTATAATGTATATAATTTCCATCCGAGGCCTTTGGGGTCTAGGACTCCAGGGCTTCAAGGGATAAAAATCCAGAATGTACTTATGATATGCTGCAATATACCCTATCATTCTCTAATATGCTTTAAAGGTACTTTAAAGATGCCTCTAGCATTCAACGGTTTTACGGGCCATAAGGCTCAAGGGTCCAGGATTTCAGAGATGCAAGGGGCTTTTCTGCCTCCTGCACTGCAGAGCGAGTCGCTACACAGGGTGTGTAGAGCTCGGGGCTTTGGGGGTTTGCGAGTTGCGGTGTAGGGTTCTGTTGGCTTCAAGTTTAGGGCTCTCTGTGTAAGTGTATGTAAGTACCAGGACCCCCCAATTGCCCTTCAATAGAGCCCTTATGGTCCTTAATCGTGTGTATTTGGGGTATATTAGAGGGTAGTTGCGGGGTCTAGGTAAGGGCGAAAGTTCGAAACATCAGAATGGACTGTGGTTTGAAAGTGTGTAAATGTATGAGATGTTCTGGTCGCACGCATGTTTATTAAAAACAACCCGCGACATGAATGACAAAGAGGTAGCATGGGCGAGAAGAGGGTAAAACACGTACATACATCATGCATATAAATATACATATGTGCATGCATACATACATACATACATACATACATACATACATACGTACATACATACATACATACATACATACATACATACATGCATCATTCATACACACGTGCATCCATCTACATATCTATATATATGTATATATATATATATGTCGAGACAAAACACACGTGAACGTGTGTTCTCGGAAACATGATGGCTCAGCTGCGGAAATCTGCCTGCTGTAGCCTGAAATCCACTCCCTGAGATGAAGTGTCGAGTTTCAATGTCGAGTTGGACTCCTGCTGCTTCTCCTCCACCACCTCGCGCTCCTTTTCCTCGAGTCATGCTCGAAACCCTACACCCCAAAATCTCAAAATGCTATGGGATCACCAACGGTTACTCCACGATCGCTGTCCCAGCGAAAATCTTCAAACCGGCTCGCAAATTAAGTCAAAGGGGTCGGTGTTCGACTTCCGTCTTCGGGAGGGTCGGGGAGCGGGGTGGTGTGGAGGGTGGAGCAGGGTCGGCTCGCTTGCGTTTTTTTTTATTTTAAGGACATGATTGTATGCATAGCCTTCTGCACTGGAACAGCGAGAGACAGCCGAATTAATACTAGTGCTGCCACCCACACGATCAAGAAAATAACGCTGATGATAAACTAGCTAGAAGAACAGAAGAACTCATAGTAGATGCCATTTGCAGCCCTGCGCATGAGCTCCTGCTTCTCAAGGCTTCCCTGCAGCTTCTCCTGCTCCTTTCGAAGCTGCTCCTCCACCTGCCATTTCCGTCAATTTTGGGGGCTATGTACGGATCTACATGGGTGTTGCTGTTTATTGCCAGGCCCCTGCTTTAGCTATAGGATGATGGGTTGAATGGTTTTGTTTAAACTTGACAGCTGCTATGCGCAACACAGCCGACGCCGTACAAACTCCGTGCCAGCCTGCTTCTGCTCCTCCAGTGCCGACCACCCCTGGTGCTTGAGACCTTGGCCAGAAATAGGGAGCACTAGATCTCCACTTCTGAGATTCTGGCCGGGAGCAGGGAACACTTGTAGCCGAAGGGTCAGCAAGCCAGGTTGCAGTAGTTGAAAAGCACCATCACAACCATCATCAGCATCACTGCGGCATGCCATGACCACTGGGATATGACAACCACCACAGCCACTACCTATCCATAGTGGCAAGCCGCAGCAGAAACAGCCCCAGCAGCACCGCAAGCATCATCATTGCATTATCATCCTCAGCAGCAACATGGTCAATGCTCTCGGCTTGTTGCCCGCAACGTGGTCATCAACATTCTCGCGAATGTTAGGCTGGTTGTTTTCGTGTATACATACTCGACATCAATTAACCACCACCATCCTCCTTGCATGGTCGCCATCATCATCACCATCATCGACGTTATCATCATTACGTGTCCCCAGACGATCATCAAAGCCGCAACCGGTCAATCCTCCAGGAGCATATGGGCAACGAGGCGTCGGAGCAGCCAAGTGGCGTATCACCTCCCGATCCTCAGAGCAGGGCTCTATGAACAACAGAAGTTGGTTCTACGGGGTCGGGCCCAGCGCCGCATCATGTGGCCCGCCTTTTGGTTGAGTTTTTTGGTTTTAGGGGCAAGAGCTCGGACGACTGTCGTTGTCCAAGGGAGGAGCGCAGCAAACACGCTGAGCGGCTCGCTTAGCCTAGCGAAACCGACAGGCATCATCGCTGCACACCACAAAGGCTCTGACTGAACTCGATGCCCTACAACCCGGACCCGAAGCGTGAACCCGGGCCCTAAACCCAACAAGCTCGACTCCCAACGCTTTAAACCCTGCTGATGTATAGCCGTTGCTGCTGTTGCTCTTGTTTTGGTGGGTGTATCACACTGATGCTTATGATGCAAGAAGCTAGTGCTCCTCATGCCCAAGATGCGGCCCTTTGATGCTACAATGTGCCTCATCGCATCTTGGCCACAAAAGGGCAGAGTTTTCCGAAGTGTGTGTTTGATTTGAGGGCAAATTTTGGATTTCTCTCGTTAGATGAACACGGATTAAGTTGAGAGAGCACATTTAAAAAGAGATATGTATATGCATCTAAAAACACACAGACCCACACATATGTATATATATATATATATAAATCAAACTGTACAATCGCTACCCTCAGCCCTAATCCCTGAGTTTGAAACCATAAACCCCTCTTTTCCTCTGCACGGCTTGGCTGAACCCATACACTCTACACCTCCGAACACACCCTTCAAAGCTGGGGTTGAGAGCCCCACGAGTCCACGAATACAACCCTAAGCAAAACACACCAGCACCCTATACAAAGCTTTGTAGAAAATCAGTTGCCCTATTCAACAAAACCTGCAACCCTTAACCACTCAAGCCCCTTGAGCCCAAAACCTCTAGCAAAGAAGCCTGAAGACTTACCAATACTCGTTACGGCGATTCTTGCGATTCCCAAAACCCTTTTCCAACTATTTACGGCCCCTCAGACACCCTTGAATTCGATTGTGCTTGTTTGCAGTAGGCACGTCCTTCGGACCTTCAGCCTGCCCGAAAGAAGAGGCCCCTAGAAGGACACTATTCTGAATATCGAATCTCTTATATTCTCCATTATGATCCCAAAAACCCTAAACTCTAAAACCCTAAACCCTAAACCCAAAACCAATCATTAAGGCTCCCTACAAGACTTCGAAGCTGGGGCGCATGGTTTTCGGCCCCGGATTCCTGGATCTCCTCGAAGCGATGCTGGACGAAGGCCAGGAGGTCCTTTGGCGGATGAGTTTCGAGGGTTTAGGGTTTAGGGCTTAGGGTTTCGACTCTCACACTCGCACAAGGCCGGCAAGGCTCCGCATGGTTCTGGTGAAGTGGAGGGCTTAGGGTTTAGGGTTTCGGGTTTTTTTTCCCTCTCGCATGGCAGAGAACAAAGCTCACAGGCGAGGTTGGACAGAGCGGAATACAAGAATGTGCATCATCAGATCTCCTCATTCCCATATTGAGAACAGTAAATGACATTATTGGTGTGCAATCCTCCAAGAAGTCACGAAAGGCAAAACCAAAACCCGTAAATAGTCTGACCATACAACGAAGGTACAAAGTAAAGACAATACCAGAATTCATGACTCCTCGAGGCTACATCTTGTTTGAAAGATCGTCGTGGTACAAGGGCGCTTGCCCTCAATTATCGGGTTTAGGGCTTAGGGTTTTGGGTTTGGGGGGGCTGGTGGTTGGGGTTCTAGGGGCTGAGTTCAGGCGATTCGGGGTTTCAGGATTGACGCCAGAGTCTTTGGTTGTAGGGTTGGAAGGAGGTTGCAAAGTCTATAGCATACGGCATACGGCTTTATGCGAGGTTTGCAAGGCTGTAGGGGCTTTCGGTGGCAGTCGGCATTGAAGCTCGAACAACAACAGCATTGAAGCTTACCACCGCCAAAACTCAATACTTAAAACAGCCGCAGAAGTCATCGGCTCGCACGCATCTGGTGCATCAGACATGGTTGATTATGATTACCTTCAGAGTCTGTCTGCAATACGACCCCCCCCATCCCCTTTATAGTGCCTCTACAAACCCTGGCTGTGCGGGCCCAGGCCCAAGAAGGCTGCAGCTGAATACTTCGTTCCCTTACATGCCAAAGCGCAGGGGTCCTGCACATCCAAACCTAAACCCTATAAACCCTAAACCCCAAACCCTAGTCCCGTGCCCTCGCGCGGCGCCTGAACCCTTTTGAACCCTATATACGTCCGACAAACCTCGAGCCCGGAACTGTAAGACCTGAAGCCCTGGTAATCTATATAGTCTGCCCAAAACCGCTTTTCCAGTCATTTAGGGACCCACAATAAACATAATGTGCCCCTAAACCCCTATCCGTATTGTTAAAGAACCCACAAGCAGCATAATATGCCCAAAATCCCTATCCTGATGGTTAAAGCACCCACAATTGACATAACATGCCCAAACATCAATTCTGAGTATTAAAGCCCCACACTTAAATATCCCCTAAACCCTAAAGGCTAATCCCTAAATATTCCTCAGTGACCCCAGTCCTGATGCTTCTTGATTTCCAGATCTCTCTCGGCGAGCAGGCGAGAGAGCTCTTCTTGGGCCTGACACGCTTGGAGATGATTGTAGGGTTTAGGGCTCTAGGGTTTTGACTTTTTAGGCTTTTAGTTCGGCGCTCACGCTCGGGCAAGGGTTTAGAGTTTAGGGTTTTAGAGTTAGGGGTTTAGGGTTTATGAGCAGCACTGCTACTACATGTACTGCAAGTCTGAGTAAGGGTTATCGCCAAACACATAGTGTCTTAGGGCAAAAAAATCTTCATACACATGCATGTACGTGCATGTGTACGTTTATGTGGAATTGTGCGGATGTGCATGTGTGTGTGTGTGTGTGCACGTATGCATATGTGTTGTATGGTATGGCATGGCATGGTATTGTATGGCATGGTATCATAGCATGGAATGGCATGGTATGTCCATGTACATGTGCATTTATGTTCGTATTTACATGTGTACGTCTGTCTGTCTGTCTGTCTGTATGTATGTATGTATGTATGTATGTATGTATGTACGTACGTATGTTTGTATGTATGTAAGCATGCATGCATGTATACACAGGTGCAAACAACAAGTTCGAATATACATATATATATATATATATCGACAAAGCTACGAAAGTCAAACATTAAGGAAATGAATTGCGGTTTCCGTTGCATAGTGTTTTCTTAGCCGATCTCTCTTCCCAGCTCCCGCGCGTCTGAGAAACCGACTGCCACAGCAGACTCATGCATCTGGCGCAAGTGCTGCTCCTCTTCCTGCTTGCCATACCAATTTTCTGCCGAAGATGGATTCAGGTTCAGAACATCAGGGACAACGAAGCCGTTCAAGAAACAAGGATGAAATGAATATAGCAGAAGAATAATGGGCAAGTCAGTGCCGAAGCCTTCTCACAAGCGCGCTAGCAGTTGAACTTAGCTTACACTGGCTCACGGCCTTAGTTTTGCTGGTGGGTCATTACGGCTTACAAAAACAGCAACTCTTGGCAGCTTGAGCTGAGGATATGCTCAAACCCTTCACGCCAAAGGGGAAACAGTGCCTCTTGAGCGAGCCAGTAAAACGTAAACGGTTCAGGCGGTGTAGGTGGGTCTAGGTCGGGTAAAGATATGCCGTATAGCGTGCAAAAGCCCCTATAAGCTGGTCATCCGAAATGAACCCACAAGGCGTGCCCGAGTCGACTGGGTGCTCCCTGAACCCCCCAACCGTGAGGATATCCAAATCTCCGTCCTTGTGCTTCTGTTCCTGCAGATCGTCTATCTGCAACCTCGCAAGCTCTGGACAACACTCCAGTCTCCCACTCCCAAGCCCGTACTCATGAAATCTCATGAAGTCAAAGGTGCGTGACGAAGTGATGCACAAATTTGGGTGAGTTGGGTGGGTTTAGAGCGGCTGTCTGAAAAGAAGCAAGGCGCCGCAGCGTCAGCAGCCTATCCGACTCATGCGCCAGCTTTCGCTGGTAGAGCCGGGTGAGCTGATCCACAGCCTGTCGCCAAAATCGATACAAACGGGCTTGGGGGCGCGGGGGTAGAGCATAGAACGGCGGTGCGGCACCTATGTCCAGCAATCAAAGTCTTTTGGCGTTGCATTCGCCTCTGATCTGCTTGAGCCGTCACTGTGCCTTACAAATTAGGTATAAGAACACTAGTATAGCATCAAATTAAGTTAGATGCCAGTCAAGGGTCACAGCGAAAACCTCCCAAACAGTCGCCTCGCCATGTCGGTGCTCCATGTTCCGTTGCAAGCGCGCTCCTTCGAGAATGAAGCCCTCGAAGGAAAACACCAGTCAGTCCAACACCTCATGTATTTATGGGATTCTTAAGGGAGCTCAGCCGGGGTATATCACCCAATAACTCCAGCTTCCCCTAAGGATCCCATACCTGAGTTACGACCGGTACATGATGCGTGGTTACTGGCACCTCAAGACTCTGCCTTCCCATGATAAATGATACAGTTAATATAGGGGCCTTACTAATTAGAATAGGGCTTTGGGCGATATTATTCTATAATAGTTGTAATAAGGAAGCCCCAAAATAGTATTGATAATTATATTTGGGCTTCTAATTACTTCTCCTCCTTCGACCTTGTCCCTCTGCTTATGATGCCACCAAAGGCCAAAAGCTGCAGATGATACAGTAAATGGCAGGAGCGACGAACCCGTCTGCCCAAAACAATGCTTGGAGTCATCAGAACCCCCTCTCAAACCAGAAGCAGCAAAGAAGCACATACGCTCTATGAACATATTTACCCCTCGAATCCCCAAACCCCTAAGAACCAAAACGATGAATCGAACAAACGTCTTCTCCCTGCAATGAGCCTTCGGCTTCTTTGGCTTGGGCTGCCTCGACATTGAAAGCTGGGTACAATACCACGGATGGCGGGTCTGGGGCTTCGTTTTTCTTGGGTTTGGATTGTGCTTGCAAAAAAAGTTGCCATAAGCTTAGCTTGCAGCTGCTAGGACCTTCAACATGTATCGCTATCTCTTCTGCTGTAATTAACATTGCCGCTGGCAACAACAACTTTCTCCCTTCCAGTAGGAGTTGAGATGATGGGACTTCGAATCGCACACTCGCTCAAGGAAGGCGCGGATGCAGCGAGCGGGTTTAACTAGTCTCAGACTTATTTTTTCCCGCTCGCATGGCAGAGAACTGTGCTCAATGGCGAGGTTGTCAACAGAGCTTCAAAGAGGCACGGTCTCGTAGGGTCGGGAACATTCTGAGACGGGAGTCTCGGGCCCCTGCAGCAAACCATGGGCAACCCTACACTCCGCATCTTTGCCGAGGCCTCCTCCAAGGCAACATAACGTCGCTGGAGCTCCTGTGCAGGCCGTTTAAGGTTTAGGGGTTTAGGATTTAGGGTTCGACTCTCACGAATCGCACAGGCAAGGCTCCACACAATCCGAAGCGCCACAGTCGCAAGAAATCGGAGCAGGTTGACAGTAAGACAAGACTGGTTTCGACTTTAGGGGTTTAGGGTGCGCTTTCAGCACTCCGATTCTTGCACCAGCCATTTGATGTCTTTTTATGGCCTCGAGAGGGTTGACCGCTTGCGCTTCCCGAAGGCTACTACTCCGTTGAGTAGCTGGGAACACAACATACCCAAGCCCGAACTACAGTCCAACTGAATACGTAAACCATCACGATTCCCGAACTTCAACGATGAACACACAGACAGAGACACACACACACACACCAACAA